AGCAAATGTTCTGTTTCTGCCAGGCTTCATTTCCAGTCATTTGACATAGATATACTCTCAGACCATTGCTGTGGTTCTCAGAGAACTTTTCATTGTGCACACATCCTAAGCCTTGGAAGCTCTGGCAGAATAAGAACTGATCTAATATGACGTCCTGAATTTCTTAGATTCAAAGATAAGTCACTGAGCCCCTTGTCTATTCCTCAAACAGACCCTACATCTGGTACACACACATGAATCTCCAGAGCCATATTCATAGTGAAATAAGATATGAGAGGAGCCCACACTGAGAAAGAGGCTTCTTAAGAGAAAATCTCTTTTGCTTTATCAACCAGTATAGTCATTTCCTCCCCAGAATGATCTGGACACATACTAGAAGATTCCCACAAGCACTGGAAAATAATAATTAATTTTGTTTTGCACTTAGGCCAATTGATTTCAGACTTACTGGAAAGTGCTATATTATCTTCATGATATTTCTCTCCACACACACAAGGCTGTCCATGAAATACATCTAATGGACTGGTGTTGAAGACTACTGTAAACCAAGCTGGGTGTACCCAGGCTGCGATAGACTTTGGCCTGGCCATCTGACCTAAAATCCCCAAAGACAATTCTCTGGTCATCTTGTGCCTTGGTTTGTTATTACTTCTGATGACCAACAGACTTGGGGTTTGTTTTTCATAACATTTGATGTACTACTTTGATAATGTTGCTGTTTAATATGTTTACTAGCAAATTTTAGAACAAAAAAAATTGCATAGAATATCCCATCTTACACAACATTTTGGCAGCTAAAATGTTGTATATAAGGGATCTATTAAAAATTAGATCACATTGAATCAGAGACCATGAGTAAAGGAGTAAAGCCAGAGAATGATCTTGTAAATACTTGATAATTTATCCTTTTGGTAAATTCTAAATTTTATGTGATCACCATTGAAGTAATTGCAAAAGCAAGGGATACACAGCATGAATACACATACATACTCACTCATCTCCTCAGTCATGTGTGCACACACACACACATCTGTATACATATTTATTTTCCTCAATTATGTGAATTTTTTTTTCTCTGTTGAAAATAGTTTTGGGGTTTGGTATATTGAAAAATACTTCAATTGCCCATTTCCATTACATTCTGAATGGGCACAGATAAGAGATATGAAGTTCTTGCTTTGCCCTAGAATGTTCTTCTATTTTTTTTTTCTCTTGTCTGTCTCAATCCTTATGCATAATATAGAGAAAGCCCAGGAATTCATACTTGTGAAGAAACAAAATGTGATAGAAATTGAGATGCCCATCAACTCCTCAGCGTTAGCATTTTCAACACCTCTATGAGGACTTATTGCATCTTTCTTCTTAATATGTTAGCATAAGATTTCTACATTGTCCTCCTTTTTGAGTTTTAAATTCTCTTCCTTTATTTTGGCTTTTTTTTTTTTAAAGATTTATTTATTTGTGCATACAGAACTGGGGTACAGGCCAGAGGCTCAGGGGCAGTGAGAGGCTTCACCAGAGACAGAGTGGGGAACAGAACAGGCAGATCAACGTAGTACACTGCTGAGGGGAGCAGCGGGCGGGTCAGGAGAGGTCTGCCATGCCATGTGGTCTCCTCCGGGGCAGGCGGGAATCGAACTCATGCGGAGGCGGCTTTAGATTCTCAGTGCTGTGCTTTAACCCGCTGCGCCACCAGGGAGGGCCGGCTTTCTTTTTTTTTAAAGACTATTTTTTCCCCTCAAGACTATCTTTTTTTTTTTTTAGATTTACTTATTTATGCATACAGAACTGGGATATAGGCCCAGAGGTGTGGTGGGTGAGAAGATTCACCAGAGATAGAGTGGAGAGCAGAATAAGCAGATCGTCGAAGTACACTGCTGAGGGGAGCAGCGGGTGGGCCGTGCCATGTGGGTCACCTCCAGAGCGGGGATCAAACTCATCCTGAAGTGGCTTTAGCTTCTTAGTGCTGTAGTTTAGCCCACTGCACCACCAGGGAGGGCCCCTATTTTGGCTTTCTTATTCAAAACACTAAATGCCCACTTAAAAAAAATATATATATAATAGTTTATTTTTACATCATTTTGTGTTTTTTTCCATCTCAGTTGTAATCCCCATGGGCTTCCCATCACCTATGCACCATCGCCATAGTCCAGTGCACTTCCCTCCTCACCCGTTTTTTAAATGCCCACTTTTTAGCTTTAAGTTTTTGTTCAAAATCTGTATGACCCCACTAATATATAAGCAATTTTAGGTGTATTTAAAACCTCCTTTAATTTCAGCACAATAATTAATTTTAATAGTTAAAAACTGAATGTTTTTCAAAGCCATAGCAATACAAATATTGACTCATTAAAATTTAATGTATGAGCATTTTCCTTATGATACAGTTCTTAAACTTTATGTATCATAAATGGTCCATACAGCATTTACTGTCTTCCTAGCAGGTGAAATATCTATGCTAAAGCACTTGGAATATGAAGAGATAAATAAGCCCCACCTTCAAGGAGGTCCCACAGAGGAGCCCTATAAACCACAGATTACAGTACATCCTATGATAGAACTGCTGCCATTACTAAGTAGATGGAGCAATTGCACTGATTTTTAAAATAAATTAGAATGACTTTGCACTGGAGGGAAATTTGTGTTGTATGATGAGAGTGGGAAAATAACCTTTTAAACAGTGAGAAGAAAAGTATTGTAGGCTGAAAGGGCTGCTTTGACTTTTGCTATGAATTATTTCAGATAAAGATCAATTTGTAAGAGCAAATGTATCAATTTAATCATGGTTTCTGACAACTAGCTTTTGAAATTAATTGGATTTTCTTCATTTATATGTATTTTAAAAAGCCTTTTGAAATACTGGGCTTTTCTTTCTCCTCCCCACCCTCCTGCCCCCTCTCCATCCCTCCTTTCCTCCTTCCTTTTTTACCTCCCTTCCTCCCTCCCTCCCTTTCTCTTTCTCTCAAATTTGCTTCCTTACAAGAATACACTTTCCTAAATCAGCTAGGTTTCCCTAACAAATTGGAGTATTGTTAAATTTGTTTAAGTTATTGTGGTTTTCTTGTAACTTTCACCTTAGATTTCAATTGAAATACATGACTTTGGCTTCACTTCTAATAAATGGAAACCCTATCTCATTATGAAAAAAATCATCTTTGAAAGCAGTACTTCAGCTTTCAATTCTCTGTTTGCTCTGAGCCTCTTAATTTTCATTCCTCTTTAAAGTTTCTATTTAAACACACCTCTTTGTCAAATGCTGATAAATATTAAAATAACAGGAAAAATCTGCCTGACATATTTAAGCTGATAATAAAAACAAAACACAGGATGTGTGTGTCCTCCTTCCTTTTGTGACTATGGTTAAGTGTTAGGAGGTTTTGAAACCTATAATTATGTAATCATCAGTATCGTTACCTTTTCTTTCCAATGAAAAGCTACATATTTTGTAGTTTGCCACAAAGACAGACAAAAACAAATTGCCTAAGTGGTATTGTCCTTTCTTTGCTCCATTGTTTTAAAAGAATTTAGTAAAAGAGTCTCCAGTTGCCAGGGGGTAGCTCCTGTGCCAATAATCACAAAATGATCTTTCCAACAGCATCATTGGGTAATGAGCTAATTTTGAGAACCATAAATATCACGTATTGTCCTAACATTTGCCAGTATTTGTTACATTAAAACACTGTAAATATTCAAATAGATGTCAAAAGTAGCTCAGTAAATCTGGCTAAAAGAGATGTGAGTAAGAGTGCCTCACTGGTAGGCCAATATGACGAAAGGATAGGAGTTTCAAAACTACCTCCTTTGATCTCCAAGTATGTGCCACCAGTTATACGTGAAAACACTATTTAGTTTCTTTTTATAAAACTTCTAAAGGAAATAGTACATCAGCACACCAAGTTTTTGAAGTCCATGGATAGAGTACTATTTTCTTCTCTCTGTTTCACATCATGAGACTCTAAAGGTAAACTCACCTCTACTTAATATCTTCCTTTCACTTTTATTCTTCTCAAACTTTTTCTCATAAAAATATTTTTAAAAGCATGTACCATAAATACTTCAGAAGCCAATGAGCCACTGGAACCTACTGCCTTTGTTCCTTTCTCTTAGAAGTTGGGCTTTTGCAATATTTCCGTTATACTTAAAGCTGTGATACCAACAAGAAAACACAGCATCCAAGGAAGGAAGGTCATAAGTATAAAACAAAGGGAATGGCCCTGCTAGAAACAGAAGTGTATGCGGCAATGTCAGGAGGCAGGCCAACTCCTAGGCTTTCATCTTACTTGTTTCTCCTGTGGTCTTACTCAAGTCCACTAGAAAAATATTTGGGGGAGACATAAGGGGCAGCTTTTGGACTTAAAAAAAAAAAAACTTATCAAGCTGGTTGTTCTTATGTCAAGACAAATTTATGTTTAGTACATCTTCTTGATGTTGCTTCAAGGTGACCCTTTCTTTCCACGGTTCTCAATTCCATGTGAAAAGTGAATACACAGCACTGAAAGATGAGAGGTCAGGTTTCTTTAAAGAAAAATGAAAACATCTTTGAAGAACAAAGTTGGATGACCTCCAAGAGAAATGATTAGTGACCTAGAAAGAACCTTTGGTTTCACACCTGGAAAGGATGTAGATTCAAGTGGGATCTACAGTTGATGCTAAGAGGAAAACCACTAACATACCCAGTGGGGCCCTCAGGTCAATGTGGGGGCACCTCAGGGCCACTGAAGTTAGCTCTTCCAGAGTTTACTGGGGCCAGCAAACTGAGGTCAAGTCACATTATCAGTATAGGTCGGCCTTTTGCTCCTCCTGTGGGAGACAGCATCACCATACATCCATCACAGTGTGAAGCCTGCTTAAAGTGCTTTTTCATTTGGTTTCATATACAATTCAGTTAAGCACCACTAGACCTCTGAACAATGTCACCAAGACATACTTTTAAAGGCCATAGTATGTAAACAAACTGTTTAGAACAATAGTTCTAAACTGAATAAAATTCTGAATAAGAGTCACATTTGATATACTGATACATGTAGACAAGCTTCAGAATATGGCTTACCTTGCAGGTTAACTCTGGAGACAGGAGGCTGGCTAGCAGCTGGGGACCTCCTGTGGACACAAAAGAAAAGAAGGCCTGAGTCTTTGTCTGAATATCCCCTCTGTGCTTCAGGCCTGCTGTACCTAGTCCCCTACCCCCCTTTTCCGGTCATAATCAGCTATCAAGTGACATAATGCTATCTCCGGAAGACAGACTCCTGTAACAAGGGTAGATGACTGCAATTCTCTCACATCCAGATGGCCTGGAATTTCCCTGTGCACAGTCTTCTGGATGCTCCAGCTCTCCAGGAAGGAAGTCGTTTGCTCCAGGTCCACAGTCAGCCCTTCTGTTTTAGGTTACCAGTAGGCACTCAGAAGAGATACACTTGCTTAAAAATAACACCAATTTGTTAGAGCAAATTCTAATTTCTTTGGACAAAGCTGTAAAATGTCACAACCAGAACGCTTAGAGAATAATCGGACTATGCTTTCCTTTTGCACCTTAGAAACTGAGCTCCAGAGAGGTGAAGTGACTTGTCAAAGGCCACATAGACACTAGGAATAGAATCTATGTTGCTTATGAAACAGTCTTTTCATGGAGGAACCAGGCATTTTGCATCATGACAAACTTGCTGGATGAACAAATACATGCTCCACTAATTTTGGGGGCTCCTCTTTCTTTTTGATCTTATTTTTTCCTTTTTCTCTTTCCCTTCCCCCAGAACTCTGTACTTTTTTTTTTTGTCCTCATAAAAGTTCATGCTTGCCAGAATCTTAGATTCCCAGTGTATTGCTTGAGAACTTCCCAGAAATAGTATAAATCAGTGATCCTCAAATTTTAAGGTGCATTAGAATCACCTAGGAGTTTATTAAGGTATATTGTTAGATCCCATGCCAGAGTTTCTGATTCACTCAGCTTGAAAATTTGCACTTCTATTTAGTGCCTACCTGTTGTTAATGATGCTGGTCAGGGACCACATTTTCAGAACCGCTGGGATAGATGTTTCTTGGCCTCTTGGCCCCGGAAAAGAGTTAAAGGACATTAGCAACCAAAGCAAGAAAATGACTTTTAAATATGGGGAGCTATTAAAAATATGATTCATAATACACCATGACCAATGGGCTTTATCCTAGGAGCACAAGGATGGTTCAACATCAGAAAATCAATTAATGGAATCCATCACATCAACTGACAGAAAAATAAAAACCACATAATCATATCAATAGATGTGGAAAAGACATTCAACAAAGTTCAACACCCATTTATATTTAAGGCCCTCGAAATCCTCGGAATAGAAGGAACATTCCTCAACATGATAAAAGCCATATATGACAAACCCACAGCCAATATTATCTTCAATGGAGAAAAGCTGAAAGCCTTTCCCTTGAAATCAGGAACAAGACAAGGGTGTTCACTATCGCCACTGCTCTTCAACATAACATTGGAAGTTCTAGCCAGAGCAATAAGACAGGAAAAAGATATACAAGGAATCCAAATAGGGAAAGAAGAAGTACAACTGTCCTTATTTGCAGATGATATGTTACTCTACATGGAAAACCCTAAAAACGCCACAAAGAAACTGATCAACCAGTTTAGTAAGGTAGCAGGTATATAAAATCAAAACACAAAAATCAGAGGCCTCCCTATACACAAAAACTAATCAGAAGAAGCAGAAATAATAATAATAATAATAAACACCTTTTCAATTAAAACAAAAAGAATCAAATACCTGGGAATCAACCTAACAAAAGAGATAAAAGACCCCTACAAAGAAAATTACAAAACACTGTTAAAAGAAATACAAGATGACACCATGAAATGGAAAGACATCCCCTGTTCATGGATCGGGAGAATTAAAATCATAAAAATGGCCATCCTATCAAAAGCGATATACAGACTTAACACCATCCCAATAAAATCTCAATGACATTTTTCAAAGAAATAGAAAAAATATTGATGAGATTCATATGGAACAAAAAAAGACCTCTACTAGCCAAAACTCTCATGACTAGGAAGAAAGAGAATGGAGACATTACAAACCCAAACTTCAAGCTATGCCACAAAGCCATAATAATCAAAACTGCATGGTACTGGAACAAGAACAGACATACAGAACAGTGGATTCAGATAGAAAATCCAGATATAAACCCACAGGTTTATGGAGAGCTAATCTTTGACAAAGGAGAAAAGAAGATACAATGGAGCAAAGAAAGTTTGTTCAGCAAATGGTGCTGGGAAAACTGGGAAGCTACATGCAAAAAAAAAATGAAACTAGATCACTATACACAAAAATCAACTCAAAGTGGATTAAAGACCTAGACATAAGAATAGAAACTATAAAATACCTGGAGGCAAAGATGGGCCAAACACTACACGACATACACTTCAGCAACATCTTTAAAGATAGAGCACCCAATGCAATGATAGTGAAGGCAAGGATAAGTAGATGGGACTACATCAAGTTAAAGATCTTCTGTACATCAAAGAAGACATTACAAAAGACAAACAGACATCCCACTGATTGGGAAAACATTTTCTCACACAAAAGTAGTGATAAAGGTCTGATCACAAAAATATACGGAGAACTGATGAAACTCAACAAAAATAAAGTAAACAACCCCATCAAAAAATGGGCAGTAGAGCTAAAAAGACACTTCTCCAAGGAGGAAATGCAGATGGCCAACAAGTATATGAAAAAATGTTAAACATCATTTGTAATATTGGAGATGCAAATTAAAACCACAATGAGATACCACCCTACCCCACTGAGAATGGCACATCTTCAAACAACTAGCAACAACAAGTGTTAACAAGGATGTGGAAAAAAAGGAACTCCCCTGTACTGCTGCTGGGAATGCAAACTAGTACAACCACTATGGAAAACTGTTTGGAGGTTCCTCAAACTGCTAAACATGGAGCTTCCCTATGACCCAGCAATCCCACTCCTAGGTATCTACCCAAAAGACACAAAAACACGGATTCAAAAAGATACCTGCGGCCCTCCCTGGTGGTGCAGCGGGTTAAAGCACAGCACTAAGAAGCTTAAGCCACTTCCGCATGAGTTCAATCCCCACCTGCCCCAGAGGAGATCCACATGGCGTGGCAGACCTCTCCTGCCCACCCGCTGCTCCCCTCAGCAGTGTACTTCGTCGATCTGCCTTTTCTGCTCCCCACTCTATCTCAGTGAATCCTCTCACCCTCCACATCTCTGGCCTGTACCCCAGTTCTGTATGAATAAATAAATAAATCTTAAAAAAAAAGATACCTGCACCCCCATGTTTATTGCTGCAATATTTACAATTGGAAAGACATGGAAACAGCCCAAAAGCCCAAAAGTGGGTGACTGGATTAAAAAGATGTGGAATATTACTCAGCCACCAAAAAAAGAAACACATGCATTTTGCAGCAACATGGATGGAGCTGAAAAAGACCATGCTTAGTGAAATAAGCCAGAAAGAGGAAAAATACCAAATGGTTTCACTCATAGCAGGAGTATAATGGACCAGGCAAGAAAATAATAATGACAAACAGCTATATACCAGAGACATTTTGTGGGGGTGGAGGGGGGAATGGGATCAGAAACAGTGGGGGGAGAGAAATACACTGGACTATGGTGATGGCATATGGGTGATTTGATGATGGAAAACCCAAGGGGATTGCAAGTGAGATCAGAAAATGCACAAAACTATGTAAAAATAAACAATTATAAAATTAAAAAAAAATTATATGATTCGTTTTCCCACCCCTAAAGAGTCTATTTCAGTATATGTGGGATGAGACCTGGGAATTAGTGGGACTTTTTAAAAATTTTCACAGAAATCTATGAATTCTTATGTAGAGACTAGTTGGGAAGGGAGTCAAAATTTAAAAGACAGAAAAAATCTGCAAAGGTATTACTAAGGATAAGTCTCCTTGCTGGTTTGACAACAGTTATCTTCCTAGGTTTTTACATCCAAATCCCCTTAGGGTGTTGGTGTTTTAGGGGTAACTTAGATTCTAGGCAACTGGAGCTTACAGCCACTGTGAGGTCTGACAATCAGAGTACATATCTACCTCTAATTTACTTGCTGAGTCGTCTGAGGCGAGGGACTTTTACACCCTAGGTGACATGAGATGCTCATGTATGACAAGGGAAAGGAAATTGCCATCCAATGATTGCTTCACTCTGCTTGACATTGTGTTTGGAAACTTCCATTGGGGATGTTGTCTTACTTTAAGGAAACTGAAGTGAGAGGTAAAGAAACAATGCCGGAGCACACGAGATTTGTAATTGGTGTGGTCAGGATTCAAAATGAAGTCTTTTTGAATCCAAAGGGCATGTTTTTTCCACTGTTTCATCTGCTGATAGCACCTGCACTAATACAGAGGGCCGTTTTTCAGGAAAATTAAGAGATTAAATTCTAAACTCCTTAGCCTGGCTTTTAAGTCTTCTGCTCTTTCACCTCGACATACTTTGCCCATCTTATCTCAGCCTGACATTTCATCTCAAACACTGACTGGTTGTTTGTGTTGATGCATCTTGTGCTTCTCAGTTGCACTTTAAAACCACAATTAAAGTAGGTATTGTATAAATTGTGCTCAATGTAGAATGCTTTAGCTCAAATGATATCTTTATATGACTAGTAAATAGCTTACTTACTACTGGATCCTTGGAGCCCAGGAAAGTCTTTCATGTGCTAAGCAGTCAATAAATATTTATTGACAGAAGAAAGAATGAGTGAGTGAAGGAATGAATATGTGAGGGAAAGTACTAACTCCTACTTCTTCAAGGCTAATTTTATTTATTTCATTTTCTTTTAATCTATTATTCCTTTTCTGACATAACTATTCTGATAGGCTATTTTTGCTGAAAGGAAAGCTCTTCCACACAAATCCACATATCTAAATCTCACCTACCTTTTTATGACCCTGTGATTTATAATGAGAAAAAATGTATTTGCTCTTTGTCCCATTCCTGGCATTGAGCTCCTAAACCCTTTTGAGTATTCTAAGTGATGAATCTTATTATATTAATAAGGTGAGTTTTAGAAAGTCCCTAGGTAATTTCTAGATGGGGTATGGTTGCCAGGGG